GGGTTCAAATCCAACCTCAGACACTTATTAACTGTGTGACTCTGAGCAAGTCACTTAATCTTTGTCTGCCTCAGTTTCCTCAACTAAATGTTAAATGGGGATAATCATAGCACCTACTTCCCAGGATTGTTATGAAGATCAAATGAGATCATCCATTACAGTGTCTGGCACCCAGGGAGTGCTATAGAAATGCTTATTTATTCCCTTCCGCTTTCCTCCTCCCCTTAATAAACATAAACATTGAGCAGTTAATAGGGATGGGGACTGGACCCAGGATTTTACTGCTGCGGGGCAAGGCAACACTTTTCTTTGTATCCCCAGCACTGATCACAGTGCCTGGCACATAGTAAGTGCTTAATAAAAGCTTATTGACTGCCCTCTAAAACTTAGATTCTTAGAGAGTTGACCACAGCACAAAAAACTTAAGTGACTTGCCCAGGGTCACACAGCCAATATGTGTCCCAGGCAGGACTTCTTGCCTCTAAGGCTGGCTCACTATCCACTACGCCACACTACCTCCCATGAGCAATTCCTTTTTGTACAATTCTTTAGGTCTGTCCTTCTTGCTGTAAAGGGTGTTTTATAGTCGGATTCACATAGTTTCTGTGTGTGTCTTGGTAGGCAAACCCCCAAATGATGAATATATTGTCATCATTTTGTTTTGGTTTGGTTTGGGTTTTTTTGGCTAGGGAATGGGGTTAAGTGATTTGCCCAGGGTCACACAGCTAGTAAGTGTCAAGTGTTTGGTCTGAGGCCGGATTTGAACTCAGATCTTCCTGACTTCAGGGCTGGCACTCTATCCACTGCGCCACCTAGCTGCCCCTCATTGTCATTTTGAATGTATCCTTTTTCTAGCTCTTCCTGTTGGGTTTTGCTGGCTGTATGCAGAAAAATTGATGGTCTAGGGAGCTTTATTTGGTATCTGCTACTTTCCTAAGCTATTAATTCTTTCATTTGAGTTGAATCTCTAGGGCTCTGCAGCTAGACCATCACACAGTCTCTGAAAGTGACCAGTCTGTTGCTTCTTGGCCACTGTTTATTCCTTCCATTTGTGTTTTTTATGACTCTTGCTAGGACCTCTGGCACCTTATCACCTGGACATCCATCCGAGTGCCGGACTTGGAGTCAGTAGACATTGGGTGGGTTCCAATCCTGCCCCTGACACTTGCCAGCTGGGCAATCATGGGAAAATCATGGCATTTCATGGTAGACGACTTGGGATTTGGGGTTGGTTGGCTTGGTTTGGTTTATTTTTTACCCTGATCTTATTAGAAAGCCCTCTCATGTTTCTCCATTCTAGATAATGCTAGCTCTTGGTTTTCAATCCACTTATTCCTACATTCCAAAGTTGAAGTTTGGTTGGCTTGTGGCTCTACCTTCCTCTCAAGCCCCTCTCTCCCCTTTCCCTCTTCCTTCCTAATCCCTGTGGAGTGAAACTAAATGTTTTGTGTCTGTATATTCAAACCCCTTTTGTTCAGTTCTGATAAGAGTGAGGTTCATGTAATACCCACTCTCCCCACCCCTTCCTCCCTTTTTGTATGCTCTTCTCATAAAGCCTTCTTCCTGATTTCTTCCTCGTATACTCCATTTTTCCTCCCCTTTTTTTTTCTATCTTAGAACCATTAAAAATGAACAAAACCACCCACAGTCCCTCTGTTTATCTTATTTAATTTCTTCTGTGGCCCTTGAAGACTTAAGAATTTTTGAAAGACTTGTCTCTTCTCTTAGTAAAAATATAAGCACTTTACCATTTAGACAATGGTGTCTAACTCAAATAGAAACTGCCTACATATTGACTTAGAAAACAACAAATAAACATTATCTATGTTATATGATATGTTTATTTATTTTGTTTTTAAGCTGGTTAGAGAGTTTGACACCTCTGGTTTAGACCCTTCCAGTTATTTAAATGTATTTGCCTTTCTAGGTTTCTCTTAACCCCTGTATTTACAATTCAAAGTTTCTAGTCATCTCTGGGCTTCTTAGCAGAAATGTTTTAAAGCCTTTTATTCCATTAAAATCCTTTTTCGCCTCTAGGACTGTACTCAATCTTGCAGGCTATGCAGGTAAGTTGTTGTTGGTTGTAAACCTTTATCTTTTTTGTTCCAAGATCTTCTCTCCTTTAAGTTGTTGCTGCTGACTCATGTGATATTGACAGGTTCCTTGGTATTTGAATTGTTTCTTTCTAGCCACTTATAGTATTTTTTTTTTTCACCAGGAAGCTATGACCTTTGGCTTTGACATTCCTGGGAATTTTTCATTTGGGGGTTCCTTTCAGGAGGTGACTGCTGTATTCTTTCTATTTCCCCTTTGCTCTCTGGTTCTAATAAATTTGGGCAGTTTTCATTTATGATTTTGTGAAATATGGTACTCTTTTGCTTTTTGGTCATGGTTTTTGGGGAGTCTTATGATTCTTAAATTGTCACTCCTTGGCCTATTCTCCAGGTCAGTTGTGTTTGATAGTATATACTTTAAATTTTCTTCTGTTTTTTTAATCTTTGATTTTTTGTTCTAAAATTTCTTGTTCTCTCATAGAGTCATTGAGTTGTCTTTGATCCATTCTAACTTTCAGAGACTCTTTTACTTGCATAAGTCTTTCTACTTTCTGTTCTCAGTTCTTTATTCTCTTTCTAATTCTTTCTTCCAGACCTCTTATTTCACCTATCATTTTCTTTTTTTAAAAAAAATCTCTTGCTTAATTTTTTCCCAAGTATTCTCATAATCCTTGTGGCCAACCCAGTTTTTCTTTCCCCCTGGAGACACTGCTTGTATTTGTGGTACAGTTACTTTCTTCTTCTGTGTTCACCTCATGTCTGTCTCTTGTCCCATAAACTTTCTTCATAATGTCCAGTATCTTCTTGTGATTACCCATCTCTCCATCCTTAGTTCCTAATGTGAGACTCTGTCCAGAGCTAGGCTGGTTCCCCTTCAGCACTCTTGGACAGGTCAGACCTGGGATGGATCCTGTTTGTCCTGACTTCAATGTCTTTCCACTGGCTTCCCCTTCCCCTGATGTATCTTTGTTCAGAGCACAGGCAGGCTTCAGTGTCCCTGGCCAGAGCTCTGCAGTTGGCTATCCCTGCTCAGGGGTGCTGCTGAGGGCTTCCTTTGAAGGCCTCTGAGGTAGGCCCATTCCCCTGAGCCATCCTCCATGTCTAAGCTCTTTTTGTGTATCATCTCAGTCTTCTTGAAAGAGCTTACTGATGTTTCTCTTTGGACTTCTTGATCATTTTTCAATCTAGTGCCCATTTGTAGGAGAGCTGACTCCTCCCTGGCCTTTCCCATTGTCATGTGAGCTGGAAGTTAGAAGTACACCTTTCCAAGGAGATCATGCCATTTTTGTAAAACCTACAGCTTCATGTGGAACTTTATCGGTAATAGATACTCAGTATTTGTTGAGTGGATGAATAAATGCATGGAAAAATGAATGAACAGATGGATGAATCAGTGACTAGATAGAAGGATAGAGAGCTGAACACAGAATCCCAGAAACTCCGAGTGGGCAGGGACTTTAGCGCCATTGACGCCAAGCCAAATCTCAAGCAGAATCCCTTCTTTAAGATCCCAGAGTTTGCTTGAAGACTTCTAGGGAAGGGGGCTGCCTTGGCAGGTGGTGAATTTCTTCAGGTGGGAGACGTTCAAAAGGTCCCTTCCAGTTCTCAGATTATGATTCCATGATTCTATGACTCTAATTGCAAGTTTTTTTCATGACATCATCTGGCCTCCATTGTGTGTTTCTAGGAATGGGTTACTACTCTGTGTTCATGTTATGATAAATGCACTTGTCACTATGGAAATGTTTCCTGTATGCAAGGTAATACTGAGTAGATCTTTGTTTATGAGAACCACATATTTATCCAGAAGTCCAAGACATTGATGCTATATGTCGCCACCCTCCCAAGGCCTGACTGGGCTATCTGGGCATAGCCTACTTGGCCTCTCTCCCATGGTGGGCTATGTTGCAGCACTTACAGTGAGTAAGGCATGGGTGGAGGTGCTGGCCTTCTAGTCAAAAGTAGCTTCTTCCTCCCACCCACCCCCTGCCAAAATGCCCCAAGTACTTTGGGGCCACTTCTTGAACCCATTTAGCATGTTCCAGTTGAAATGAGGGTTCTTTCTGTACCTGCTGGGTTGTTAGCTCTGTGAGAGGCATCGCTCTCCATGCCCAGCTCATGGCTTGGCTCATTGAGGGGACTAAATGTATTGATGCCCAAATGAAGGTCTTCAAACAGAACCATAACTAGGGTGAGGCAACTGGGCCTTCACCCCAGAGCTGCTGAATTTAGAAGGCTCTTTGGCAACATCTGCACTACTTCAGCACATAGAAACGTAAAATGTATCCCCTAGTTATCAAGACTAACTGGTGAAAACAGGAAACTAGGGGGCAGCTGGGTGGTGCTGTGGATAGAGCACCTGCCCTGAAGTCAGGAGGACCTAAGTTCAAATCCGGCCTCAGACCAAACACTTGACACTTACTAGCTGTGTGACCCTGGGCAAATCACTTAACCCCAATTACCTAAAGGGAAAAAATAAAACAGGAAGCTATCAGAGGGGAAGCTTGAGGGGGCCCTAGAAGTGGCCTCACTGCCTGCTAACTAATATTGTGAGACTTCTGTCTCCCCCTGCTCCCCCCAACTGAGGTTCTGTTTTGTTTCACTTTTCCCAGGCCCAGTGTTTGGTACTTGTCCTGGGTGGCAGAATTCCTAGTTATGGCTCAGAATGAGAGAATGGTTGGATGAGAGGAGGAAAAAAGGATGGGCCTCCTCTCCCTGTCACAATGAGGGTGCTAAACAAGGCAGAGGAAGCTGAGGAGAGGCTCCTCTCCCCTTGGCTATTCGGGGTGAAGAGCCAGGCCCGGCCAGGCCTCCCCAGGGCCTGCTCTGCATTCTGGGGAGCCTCCCGAAGTATTCCAGGTGACCGTGGCATCTTGCTCATCACGTGGCCTCCTGGCGTCCTTGGCTCCGCATCTCCAGGGCTCACTTGGTACTCTTCTTCCCTAGCTGCCTCCAACTTGGGTCTGGAGAATAAGAAAACTGCTACCCACCCCAAGTCGTCATGGCAACAGCCAGTGAATGTGTTCCTCTCCTCCAGCCGGCCCCCAGGTGTGGAAGAGCTGCACCAGGAGGCTCAGCTTAATCTCCAGAGCTTGCTGCAAGGTACCGCTGCAAAGGGAGGGGCGGGGGGGGGGGCCACGAGGGAGGAAGTGGAGGCAGCCAGAGCTTGCGGCCCATCATGTGGATTTTGGCAGCCAGGTCAAGAGTTCTGGAGTTCTGTGCCCCTGCTGTTTGTTGTTGAGAGGCAGGGTCAGCAGCTGCTATGCAGGGCTCATCTTCCAGCACGCTGCAAAATTGGCAGCATTTTGCTCCTTCTCTTCTAGGGCTGAGTCTAGCCAGGCCCTCAGTGAAGGGCTGGTAGAGGACAGCTGAGGACCCAGGCCTCTGCTCCTCTCTCTCTCTCTCTCTCTCTCTCTCTCTCTCTCTCTCTCTCTCAGCCGTGCCCCCTATGTTCCGTCATCATGCCCCCCACATGCTCCTAGCCTGGCAAAGGGGCACTTTGGAGAGCTTGTGCAGGTTAGGGGGATGGAGGGCTATCAGCATTTCTGGCCTGCCATGTCTGGGCAGGCTTGACTGTGGTGGGTGAGAACATACAGCTAAAAGAACCATAGACCCAGACTAGTCAGGAAGGACCTGGGTTCTAAGCCTGACTCGAGTACTTAGTGGCAGTACGATGAGGGCAAATCATTGAGCTCCTCTGAGCCGCTTTCTGCATGGCCAAAATGGAGAGAATGAGTCAGGATGATTCCAGGCCAGGCTAGGGGGAGGTCTGCCATTCTGTGCTTAGCTCTGCCGCCTTTCCTGGGCTGCACTGGAAACACCCCCAGCCCCCCAAGCCCCAGATCTCTGCTGAGCGTCTGATACCCAACTCTGGCTCATTCTTGGCACCCACTCAAGATGCCACCACATTGACACTCACGCTCATTATTGCTGCTGCCTCACTTCTCCCTTCCTCTTCTGGGGTCCTTGTTGCTATGGCAACCCTATCTGGAATCCTCATCTTCCAAGGCACACGAGTACCACCATCGTCATGGAGTGCTGTTATTCTGGGCACCCTAGGCCTCCTGCCCTGTGTCCTAGGCCCCAAAGGGAACAACGTTGATGTCATGCCACTGGGTTTCCTTGCTCCAGCTTTGCCACCAGACACCTTCTCACAGTCCCCTTGCTTCCTCTTCTTAAGCTCTCAGGCCACCCTCTGCATTCAAGCCCTCCTGCTGTCACTGCACTGCTCCTAGTCCTGGTCAGTGGAGGTGCCTCACTTTCTCTTGTGTGCATTCTCTGTCTTCTTCTAGTCTAAAATGACTTCCTCCTTGGACCATCCAACCGTCTTCTTTCTTCCAGGTCAAGCTGATCTCCCCTTCTCCAAGAAGCCTCTGGTGACTCAGCCCCCTTGCTTTGCTTTTCATTCCTTGCACACATACACACACACACACACACACAACACACACACACACCACACACACAGAGGCAAACATCTGTGTATATATGTATACATATGTTTAAACATATACATAGAGTCAGTACTCCCTGTTATGACCCCCTCATACTTTTGTCATTGTTCCTGGGTCATTCATGTGTGTCTGTCTTGTTCCCCCAACTAAGCCGTAAGTTGCTTCCTGACGGGGACTGGGTATTCTACTTGTGTTTTCCCCAAAGTGTTGATAATGGCACTGGACTGACTCACGGTAAGTGTACAATGAAGCCTTATTAAAGGGAGGAGAGGGTGGTATCTGGGCATCTCTCACAAGTGAGAAGGCCCATTGGCACAGAGAGTGGAGAGCCAAGTTTGCCAAGGGGCATGGCCTGGTCTCATCTGGGGGATGGCCCGAGCCCATCCCTCCCCCAGTAGGATGGGGCTGCACACCAAGGTAAAGCACAGTACAAAGAGCATGTGATTTGTAGTTGGTGGACCTGGGTTCAAATGCTGGCTCTGCTACTTTACTGTCTGTGTGACTTAGAGTTGGTCCTCTCTCCTTTGTGGTCCTCACTTTTCTCTTCTAGAGTAAATGAGGCAACGTGGTGGCTCAGTAGATAGAGCTCCAGGCCTGGAGTCAGGAAGACCTGAGTTCAAATCCAGCCTCAGGCACTTGCTGGCTGTGTGATCCTGGGCGACTCACTCCACCTCTTCCAGCTGTAAATCTAGAGCCCAGGCCAGCCTTGGGATGAACTCCCCCAGGCATTTGCCAGCCAGCCCTGGCCAGGACCTTTGTACGTGGCACATGCGAATGACCCTTTTCCTCCCCCACCTCCCCGAGGCTCCTTCTCAAGGGAGCTCTGACCTTCGTGGGTCTCCTGGGCACCCAGAGCAGCCAGCTCTCTGGCCCCATGGCACTCCCAGCTGCTGAAGCAAATTCTGAAGATGGAGGGATGTGCTCCATGACAGGCCATGATGGAGCCAAGTGCCTATTGACTGCTTGCTGGGCAAAGCCGTAACTAAAGCCTGGTTAACTGGGCACCACACCTAGAGGCCACCAACTGTATGGCTACTTCACATCAATAGCTTAGAAACAACCATTTAGCACTGAGTAATCCAAGCTAATTAGTTAGAATAGGAAAGTATCTGATAGAAGGGGGTGACTTTGCTCCCTCCCTTCCATGCCACAGCCTTGTCCATCTCCTGGGGTCTCTGTCTCCTCGAGCCAAGGGTGACACGCAGGCCATTTCCCCCAGGCCCCAGCTCAGGGAGGAGCCCAGAGGAAACCAGTCAGTGTTTAGGCTAGGATGATGCCCAGGTTCCCACTCCTGCCTCTACTACCTTCAGTGAGTCTGGATCAGAGGCTCATAAATTTAGGGCTGGAAGTGACTTAAGGGGTCCAGGCTCCCCCCCATCTTGTAGCTGAAGAAACTGGGGGCAGTGGTCCCTCGACCAAGAAGTGGAAGAGCTGGGATTGGAAGCCAGGAGCACCACATCAGTGCTTTCCACTGCCCACGCTGGCTGCAGCCCTGACCTTTGGGCATACCTTCCTGTACTACTTGTCCTCATACCTTGTCTTTTTCAGAAGAGTATGAGGAACAGTACTCGGAGGCCAGGATTTCTGGGCAGACCTTCCGTACTCCAGGCCCAGACGACCCCCTGGAGCCCACTATCGGCTCAAGGCCACAGTCTGCCAAGCGCCTAGAGTTTGTGTTGATGGTGAGTTTCAGCTTTCTTTCACTGGCAAGGGCCATGGTAGGCAGGCCTCCAGAGCAGAGGCCCACTAATTATGGAATAGTCTATAGACGGAAGCCCTTAGCCACCTCTGTTCACCTGGCCTTCCAGGGAGGAGCAAAGAGCCCTGGCATGTGTGTCTTCTGCTCCCACCCTTCCATCCTCAGTTCATGATGAGGCCTAGGCCCACCCTTACAGGCTGGGCCTGCCCACGGGGCTGAGGACAGAGCTGAATTTCAGGGCCTGTAGCTTGGAAAGCCCCCAGAGAAAGGGCACATTAAGCTGCCACGGGCTGGGGGAACTCTGACAGGGCACCTGCTCATTGAGAGGCAGAGTAGGGATATTGTGCAGGACCTGGGTTCAAATCCCACCTCAGACATTTACTAGTTGTGTGACCCTGGGCAACTCACTGCCCCTTTCCGGGCCTCAGCCTCCTCATCTGTAAAATGAGGAGACTGGATTCTGTGTCTTCAAAGATTCCTTCCTCTAAAGCTAGAATCCATAGTAGTCCTCCTATCCTTCCTTCACTTTAATGGTTCCTCCAGGAAGCCTGACTCACTGCCCAAAGAACATCCTCTGGGGACTATTTCTTCCTCCAGTCAGACCCACGGGCTTTCCATTACCCTGTTTCCATTGGCCTTTTTCCTAATAGCCCACAAGTCGAAGAGGGAACGGAGACAAGACCACCACTCAGGGTGTGAGGCCCCCTGAGTCCTCTCTGAGCCTGCCCGCCTCTCCAGACAAGCCAAACGCCTGGAACAGACCCTTCCCTCTGCCCATCCTGGAGGAGAAGAGGTGGCACCCATCGTGTTCCACCCAAGGCAGCATCGTGCCCATCAACGTCTCTGGTAGAGTTTCCTGGGGATCCCTCTGGGACCCTATGTGCCCACTGCAGTCCATCCTTTCTGAGTACAGCTGAGTCAGCAGGGGAGGGGACGGCACCTTCTCAACGGGTTGGTTGAGTGGTCCACATGGTAGAGCTTAGCGCTTACAGCTGGGCGGCCTGATTGCACTGCCATACTGCGCCAGGTCAGCCAGTGGCCAAACAATCAGAAGTTTGCCGCAGAAAAACTCCCACATGATTTAAGAACCTGTATCCTTCTTGGAGAAGAGAAAGGAACTTTAAGTCATACTAACCTATTGGGGTTTCTTTTCTTTCAATGAAAGCCTGCATTGGGCAACAGATCTCTCCTATTTCTCTAGCCCTGGGAGGAGGACGTTTACCACTTAGTGATAGCCAAGGGGTAGCAAGTGTCTGGGCCATGGGCCTTGTAGCAGGGGCTGTGGCCTTCCTCCTGAGGTGCAGACCCTGGGTCCTGAGTCCATACCTGTAGCCAGTTTCTTTCTTTCTTTCTTTCTTTCTTTCTTTCTTTCTTTCTTTCTTTCTTTCTTTCTTTCTTTCTTTCTTTCTTTCTTTCTTTCTTTTTTTCACTTGGGGAGAAAAAAAAAAAGAAGGAAACTGTCAGAATGAGACTGAGTGCAGAGCTCAGCAGGGGAAATACTCTGACCCTTGAAGGCATCGATCTTTTTCAGGCTGAATGTCCCCAGGCCTTTCAATCCACATTATGCCCTCACTACTTTGGTCTCCCTCCTCTGAACATACACTAGCTCATCGATGGCTTTCCTCCAATGTGGCCCGCAGAGCTGTGGTGTGACCTCTTTAGGCCTGGATGCCAGGCCTCTTATTGCAGCCAAGCTCTTTTTCACATGTCCTGGCACCTAGCCAAGCCTCCCCTCTCCTTTACTTGGGGAGAAGATTTTTGACCCCAAGTGCAATCAGATTTAACCAAGATTTAAGTCCTCACTAGGGGTCTTCAAGCCAAGCATGAAGGCTTGGGGAAGGGGGGGGAGGGTGGACTGGATGGCTTTTGAGGCCCCTTCCTACCCTGAGATCCTGTGATTCTGTGGGGTTAGGATAAAGGGCTGGCAGTGACCTAGGAAGATGGAGTGGCAGGGTCAAGTATGGGGCCAAGTAAAGCTCAGTCCCTTAGTGCTGGGGTTACTGGAGCTATGAGGACAGTTCCATTCTGAAGGTGGGGAGGAAAGAGGGCAAAGCCAGGGGCACTCACTAGGTGAGGCTGGGGTGAGACTGCAGGGACACAGGGGAAAAGGGCCTTTGGTAGCAGTGAAGTGACCCTCCCTGAATGTGGGGCCAGTTCAAATGATTGCCAAGATCCGTGGGCCGCTGGTGACATAGGGGAATCAGGGAGGAAACAGAGTGTGGCCATCTCAGGAGAACCCAAACAACCCGGCTTGACTGAGAGGGACGAGGTAATGTTTACAGGCTTTCTTTCCAAACTGGGATCTTGCCATATGTGATATTGTCCCTTGTTTTCTCCCATGGAGCCACATCATTCTGCTAATATGGTCTTGTCCCCAACACATGTAGTCACTATTCTGAACGAGGCAGTCGGCATTTTCAGTTACCACCTTGGTTCACCTGCGCTATGTCGACTCATCTGTTTGTGTTTGGTGGAAGGTGAATATTAGGAAATAAACTAAGCGCAAAGACAGCAAGCGTTCTTCATTTCAGTGAATATAAAGACAGACTCGGGTTCCAAAACATCTCCTTCAAAAGCAGAAGGCAGCGGGGAAGGAGCCAGAGGCTTTAGATGGCTCCAAGCTCAGCGTTCCATGAGAGCCAAGAAGGCCGACGTCACCTGTCGCTATGTCGAGAGACAAGGGGTTTGGAACTGGGGAGGTGGGCGGCTGGCCTTCTGTGCTCTGCCCTGGTCAGCCCCATCTAGAATATAGGACTCAGTTCTTGGGGCCACCGTTTAGGAAGGACAGTGAGGAGCTGGAGAGAATCTAGAGAAGAGGGGTGGGGTGGTGAAGAGCCTTGAGCTCACACTTTAGGAATATCTAGAGTTGAAGAGGAGACTCAGGGGAGGAAGAAGGAATGGCCCCAGAGAGCAGAACCAGGAGCCCGGGGGAAGCTGCAAGGAGGCCGACTTCAGGTTTATGTAAGAATAAATTTTTAACAACTGGAACTGTCCCAGAGTGGGAAAGGACTGCCTCAGGAGGTGGGGGCTTTTCCCTCCCTAAGGGCCTTCAAGCAGAGGCGGGATGCCCCTGTCAGATGTGTTATCATGGGGGTTCTTCTTCAGGTCTGGGTGATACCCTTGGAGGGCTTTTCACACCCTGAGATTCCAGGATTGGGGAGCCATGCATTCACCAAACACTGGTCCCTTTGCCTTTATTCATTCTCAGGAGAGATGCTTCCCCATCAGTCCTATGAGGTCTGATGTCTTTCCATATAATCATTATATCTTAGGGGTCATTGTGTAAACTGTTCCATTGGCTCTCCTTAATTAACACATACATTCGTTTGTACAGGCCTTTCCAAATTTCCCTAAATTCTTCAATTTCCTAGGGCACAATAATATTCCATTATATTCATATACAATTCATATACACATACTGGGCATCTGCTTTGTTTCCAATTCTTTGCCACCACAAAAGTGGAGCCGTATGTATTTCTGTGCACTTGGGACTTTTCCCTCTGTCTTTGGCCTCCTTGTGGAATGTGCCTGGTAGTGTCATTGCCAGGTCAGAGAGCGTATACAGTTCAATGACTTTGGAGAACTGATTCCAAATTGCTTTCCACAGCAGTTGGGCTACTTCAGAGCCCCACCAACAGTGTATCAGTGTGCCTATCTTCCCACAGCCCTGCTAATGTTTACCATTTTTTTCATATACTGATTACTAATTTATATTTCTTCTGAAAACTGCCTATTCATATCCTTCATATTCATTCATATGCTTAAATAGTCTGCAGAACCACTAACCCTTTCTAGTTGAGTTTGGGGCCGAGTACTGCTTATTCTCATCATTTCTATTAAGACTCTTGACCTTTGGACGTTGACTTGCCATGGCCCAACACCCCAAGGGTCGATTCTTGAAAGTGAATTCACACAGGGTGTCTTAGGGTAACTTCTGCCCTTCAGGAGTCTCCTGACATTATATGTTCATTGCAGGGCCTGGGGCTCCTATCTAGAGACAGATCCTTCTCAACCACTTGATGCTTCTAAATCCACGGTTAATATTAGCTCTGACATTCTTAGACTTACATCTCCATTCAATTCAATGAACCTTTATGCATTTTTCAGCCCCAAGTTTTGTTTTCCTGCCTACTCATGCACTGACCCTTACAGAGGTAGTTTTGCATATATATATATATATATATATATATGTATATATATATATATATTAATGCCTCACAAAATCACTGCTTGGGGCCTAAGTCTAGGGCGGGATGGACTGTCACTATTATTCCTTGAATTATGGACTAATTTTGCAAATCTTTTTCAAACATGTATGCATGGCCCAGTGCTGGGCATGGAAAGTGTTACAGGTCTTTATAAGACATGGTCTAGAGCATAGGAGGGCAGAGAAGAAAAATACACAGCAAACAACATCACCACAGAATAGAGCAAAACTGAATGCATTGAGGATTCAGGCTTGGGACAGGTCGCCTCTGGCTGGGGATACCAGAGAAGGCCTTATGGACAAGGGAACATCTGAGCTGAGCCTTGAACGATGGCAGAAATGGAGGGGAGGGCATTCCAGGCAAAAGGACCTGAATAAGTGAGAGGGTGGTATCAGGAAAGCCCGAGGCATTTTGGGGAAAAGGTGACTAGCGCAGGTTGGCAAGAGTGGCAGGCTCCTGTAGGGGAGTGGTGGGAGGGAGAAATGCTCCAAAGATTATAGTTAAGGGAGAGCTTTTGTTTATTCTGTAGGCAATGGGGAATTGTTCACTGAAGAGCTTTTAGCCAGGAAATGATGTGACCCGAGCAGTGACTCACTGAAATGGATCTAGCAGTGTGCTTAAGATGGATGGGAGCCAGGCGGACCCAGAGACACAGGGCCCAGCAAGAATGCCACTTCAGTAGTTCAGGAAAGAGGTGATGAGGTTCTGGGTTAGAGTACTGGTGAGGAAGGACTGGAAGGGAGAGACATTGCAGAGGAAAGATGTGTAAGGATTTGGCAACCAACTTGGTCGGGGTGGGAGGGAAGAATCCAAGATTCCTCAGAGGTGTTGTACCTGGGTAATCAAGGTGATTCCAGCTTGGGGCTTGGTTTTCTGGTTATAAATGAGCATCAAGAGGGTGAAGGAGTCTAGAGACAGAAACAGTGACACAGTTGGCTGTGGAGTCCAGGCTGGGCAACGAGAAATGTGAGACTGGGAGAACAGCTAGAGGTCACCATGATGGTGAAGAGCAGTGCTTAGGTAAAGGTGGATGATTCAGGGGCTGTGGCTGGACAGTGGAAGCTTGGGAAATAGAATTCAATGGAAGAATAGAAGAGACTCCAGAAAGTTCCAGGTCTTAACACACCTGTTCTTAATAAGTAGGCACTCCCCCAGCTTCCTTCCTTTCCCTGCCCCAGACTGTCTCCCTCCAAATTAACCTCCAAAGAGGATACGATCTCAGGCTCTATGGGGCAAGCTATTATTTCTAGGCTAAGGGAGCTGATAATCCATGGTCAGACCCCGTCTAGAATAGTGTCCAAGGGGGGCAGCTAGGTGGCACAGTGGATAGAACACTGGCCCTGGAGTCAGGAGGTCCTGAGTTCAAATCAGGCCTCAGACACTTGACACTTACTAGCTGTGTGACCCTGGGCAAGTCACTTAACCCCATTGCCTAGACCCAATCCCCCCCCCAAAAAAAAGCTAAATGGAGGCATTTATACTAGGTGGCACAGTGGATAGAGCACCAGCCCTGGAGTCAGGAGGACCTGAGTTCAAATCCAACCTGAGACACGAAACTCACTAGCTGTGTGACCCTAGACATGTCATTTAACCCTGATTGCCTCACCTCCCCCAAAAAATTGAATAGTGTCCAAGTTCTAGACGACACACTTAGGAAGGCCATTGATGAGCACCCAGTGAGGGGCAACCAGGCTGGTGAAGGGCCTAGAGAGCATGCCATGGGAGAATTACTTGGAGAAACTGAGGATGTTTAGCCTAGAGAGGAGAAGGCTTGGAATGAGGGAGGGAATGTTATCACTGTTGGCAAATATCAGAAGGGTTGTGTGAGGAAGACAGACTAGACATGTTCCACTTGGCCTCTGAGGGAAGATCTAGGAACAAGGAGTGGGAGGAAGAAAGATTCTCCCTAATGATCAGTGCCATCCCAAAGTGGCTACAGGTGGGTCTCCCTCTCACTAACGGTGACTTGTTCACCATGTTGGGTCTTCAGCCTCAAGAAGGCGCTGGCCTACATGGTCCTGTGATTCTCTGATCTAAGAAAAGCTCAATAGAACCCACGGGACTTCAGCCCCCAGGGGCCCTCTTCTCCATTCCCAGAATTTGACAAGAGCCAGTCCATTGAAATGTGAGCCAGTTAACTATTTGAATGCTTTTGATGATAAAGAACTCCCCAAAAGGAGCCAGTTTCAGCCAAGCAGGAGCACCAGTGTTTAAAAGGGAGGTGGGAGGAAAGGGAGGCAGCCTTTAGCTCTACTTGAGCTGTTATTTTGGGAAGTGGCTGGAATCCAGCTTTTCTGCTATCCAAAGAGACTCCTGCAGCCCAAGTTTGCTTAGAACCTTAGGTACTTTCCTGGACTACGCGAGGGGAACTCTTCATCTAGCTACAGAATGCCCCACAGTTGAGTAGATCTCGCTGTCTCTTCAGTGACTTTCCTGCAACAAGGCGTCCCTGTAAAATAACACAACAGGCCTGTGATCCCCACGAGGGAAAGGGAGGAACTGGGGAGTGCCTAGTTATGAGGACCAGGTCTCAACAGTTCCCTCGAGGAGTGACCATCTTAGGACAGACTCTTCTTTCTCTCAATAAGACAAAGCTGGGAGTGGCCTTTGGAGCCTTTCTGAATAAGTGATTCCCTTCCTGAGCCACATATGTACCAGTTAGGAGTCCCATTCTACCAAGTCTCAGGATGCCTGTGAGGTCAAATTTGCCTTTTTGTGTTAGGGTCTCTGGGTCACCTTGCTTGTTATCTACACTCTGTCTCCATGTATACTCTGTGCGTAGCACAGTGCCTAGCACATAGTAGGTGCTCAATAAAACCTTGTTGATTGCTTACGTAAAAGACAGCTGAGCCTGTGTGTTTTCGAAGGTGCTGGCTCTTTTCTTGATTCTGGTCACTACATCCATACTGATTGTCTTACCTGCTTGCTGTTGTATCTAGCTTGCAAGGCATAGGTCCAAGCCAATTTCTCCCTTCCCCTCCCTTTGCCGTTTAATGAGATTTGTAAGGCACCAGGCAAAGGCATTCTTCTGTGACATGCTACTTGGCTCTTCTTGGCTATGAGGATCCCATGGGCCTGAATCCCTTTCTCTTCTGCCACACATCTGAGTTCCCCTCTGCCTCTTTAGACCTTCCTCTCCATTGTTTTCACTTTGTCTTCCATTTTCTTATGGGTGTTTCATCCTTCCTGATGACAAGGAGGGTCAGGAGGTGTTCCTCAAGCCTCTTCGTTCCTTTCTTTGGAGGGAGACCAGACTTCCTGTGATCGGACATAGCAGTTAATTGGCTGTGGCGGGATGACTGGCAGATTCTTGGTAGCAGCCCCCTTCCCTTCCTAGCACTGGTAGTGAGGCCCGGCTCTAGGCCTCTGTTGTTCTTGTGACCCTCTCGCACTGTTGCCCGGCCAGAGTATTGGGATACTTGGTTTACTGCACAGGGGAACTGGATTTGTCATGATGCGCTGAGTGCCAATGCCAAAACTCTGTTTCTTTCAATCTTGTTCTTCTTCATAACCTTCCAGGCACTCTGTGATCATATAACACTGCCGCCCTTGCCGTTCCTCACACACAATACTCCATTTGCTGTAGTCCCCTATGTCCCCCATGAAGAGGGAGAGGGAATTCTTTCCCCGCTCATCTCTTCCTCCTTGTTTCCCTGGCTTCCTCCAAGACTCAGCTAAAATCCTGCATCCTTTCCCAGTTCTCCTTAACGTCATTGCCTTCCCTTTGAGGTTACTTCACATTTACCCTAGCTGTACCGTGTTTATATGTAGTTATTTGCATGCAGATTTGTTTTGGACTGGCAGCTCCTCAAGGGCCAGTGACCTTTTTGCCTTTCTTTGTATCCCTAGAGCTCAGCACAGTGCCTGACACTGGTGCCTGATAAATGTTTGTTGACTAACTGGTGCATGACCTGAAGAGTAGAGGATGAAAGTAGTGATGACCATAGTAGAGGAGAGAGGGAGGAGGAAACAGATGCCTGGCTGCCTGAGAAGCAGTGAATGAGGGGAACACCATCCCGTTCCCTCAGGCCCACTCGTTCCACTTCCTAGCATTCATCAGACTCAAACTCTGAGGTGACAGGAACTAGAGCTCACTCCCTAAATTGCAGTTAACGTGAATAAAACCCTAACCCCAGTGGCTGTAGGACAGAACTCAAGCTGCCTTGACTGGGTCACTCCACATGGCCTAGCCATAATGGCTTTTTTTTCCCCCCTCTGTTGAAGTTCACAGAGAAAGAGCTGAATCATTTTGCATTCAGGGCAAGGCCAAATGCCATCTCTGTCTCAGCGTGCTCTGGGACCACCTAACACACAGAAAGAAACCAGGTCGTGGCCAAGGAAGTCAAAGGCAGTGGGATGCATGAGGCAGGCGGGGGCGGGGGAGGAAGGGAACCACCTTCTCGGATGCCACCTCGTGCCCATTTGATTGCCATTGTTTCTTTTGGCTACAGGACAGCAGTTTGATAAACATGCCAGTTTGCGACATTCCTTGTTTAACACAGAGACCGCAGTGAACCCCAAGTCCACCCTGAGGCGGCGACGGACCATTATTGGCTTCCCTCACCTCTCCTTGAGAGACCCAGGTGATCTCCCCAGTGGCCCTGTGCACAAAGCATCCCTACAAAGCCTTCCTTGCTTTCATCCCCTGCCCCCCCCTTGCCATGCTTAGTTCCCTGGGGCTGGGAGACCACGATAGGGAGCAGACCATGATAGAAAATGGCCAAATGAGGAGGCCACAGGTGGCAGCAGGCAGGGCCTCATGTCCACGGCAGCAAATGCACCTGAGGACAGAGGCCAGGGCCCCCCGAATGCTAGGAGCAGCTGGCCAACCCTTGGCGGCATTTTCATCAGCAATGCTTTTAAGCATTGAGCTAACTTGATCTGAAATAGAGATGTTCTCATTTCTTTCTCCTTAATTTGAAAAGTGACGTCTGCGAATGGCAGAGGTGCCATGATGGCATAATGGCAAGAGGGCTAGCTTGGCTTCCCTGGGTCTGCCTCAGTGGCCGATTCTGTCACATACCAGTAGTATCAAACTCAAATAGAAATGGACACCTGCAGGCTGTATGTTAACACTATTTTACTGTCTTTTGATTGATTTTCATCTGGTTCCAGCTGCACTTGAAGGTATTTTGGGGATGCTTCCTCATCACCTTCACTTAATTGTCAATCCATATTTCTGTGATAAGACAATTATGAGATTGGGGGAATCTCCCTAGGAATGAAGCAGCATGAGTTCATTGTGCCTGGCCTGGGTTTCCGTGGCCAGACCCGCAGCGAGGGGGACGCAAGTCTTTCTTTGTCCATTTTGAATTTCCTCTTTATTCCAGAGATATTCCGTTTGTCTGTTCAATCGTTGGCATGAGTGCAAGAGAGATTCTTCCCTGATCCTGAAACGCTTCAGGACTTTAGAACAACTTGGTCTATTTCCCCGTCTTCCCCAGGTCCTAGACTGTGAAACCTTTTATCTTGGCTTGGAAAATGCAAGAAGTCCTTGGTATCAATTTCCAAGAAGTAACTCCCAGCTTAGGTTTAATGCCCATTGGTAGGCAAGGGATCCATACTGTTTATACAGGATGTGAGTCCCAAATGTAGCCCATCTGCTCACTTGTAACAATTTGGGTCGATCCAAGGCTTTTTAGCAGACCTCGGCTATGACCTAATGATGAAGCAAGTGGCTGGCCTAGAGAGAAATTCAGGGGCTGAGAGTTTGAGGCAGAATCCTGTCACTCAGCCACTGCGGGCCTCTGGGTAAGTCACTGACTGGCCCAGTCTTCATCTCTGGAAGTCCCATAAGTCCATTGCCAGAGACTGTGCCTCCAGCAGTGGAGGCCCAGGGGATCTATCCCCAGTGACAGAATTAACATTCTATGTTGCTCTTCCTCTCCCAGGTCGAAGCAACGGGCAAGTACACTGTGCCACTAAAGAGTCCGTGTCCTGGAACACAGCTCCAGAAGTGGCCAGTGGAAGGGGGCTGGCCAGCCACGAAGCATGTTCCCCAAAGCTGATTTCCCCAGCCCTGAGAAAGACGCCCAGTGACCTAGGAGAGTCGCGCCCAGCATTGAGTGGCCCAGCTTCACTCAGCATGGAGGGCATGGGGATGGTGTATAGCGTTCCCTCTTCCTGCAATGGACCGAAGGATTCGACATTCTCTCCTCCATGGAAAGGAAGCTGCTTTAATTACATGAGCCCAACTAGTCCTGCCCCTGGAGAGAGCAGTCAGGTCAAAGAAAATGGGAAATCTCCTTCTACATGCAATTCTCAGGGCTCTTCAAATGTCCTCAGCCCTGGGAACTTGGAAGGGACTGGCTCTGTTTTGGTTGTTCAGGATGACCGGGCAGGGAGCAGTGCATCCACTTGCTGCCTGGCCCCCACTCCAAGAAGCCAAGAGCCAGAGAAAGACTGCAAAGGGGGTCCCCTTCCCAGCAGCAAACCAGGGGAAGGGGAGCCCTCAAGGCAAGAGTCAGACCCAAGTGCCTGTAGATTCCGGGAGAGGTCACTGTCTGTGCCGACAGACTCGGGCTCTGTGTGCTCAGTGGATGGGGGCTGTGGAGAGGACCAGCAGGGCAGTGAAACTGGCACCCTGGCCTACCCCAGTGCCAGCTCAGAAGGCAGTGCCAGTACGGACAATGTTTCCTCTGTTGGAGCTGAGCCCAGACCAAGAAGGTCCAAGAGTATCTCCCTCAAAAAGGCCAAAAAGAAGCCTTTGCCACCAATGCGCAGCGTCTCCCTGGTCAAAGATGAGGCTGTCCTTCAGCCAGAAGCTGGGCCCAGCTTGCCCAAGGACCAGAGGCCTAGAAGCCTTTGCCTCCCCCTTGAACACCAGGGACATCAGTTTTCCTCCACAGATGCTCAGGGCCACCCGGCTGTGCCTAGTCTAAGGGAGACAGAAGGCACACACTTCTCCCACCACTGGTGTCTCACTGACTGGAAGTCTGGCGACCCCTACCGGTCCCTGTCCAGCTCAAGCACTGCCACTGGAACCACGGTGATTGAGTGTGTGCAAGTGCGGGGCAGCTCAGAGTCTCTGGCTTCTCCTTCCACCTCGAGGGCCACCACGCCTTCCCAGCTTTCCACTGAGGCAGAGGCCCGGGAGGTGTCATCCCCAGGGAGGCCAACAGGACTGATGTCACCTTCCAGTGGGTACTCGAGTCAGTCTGAAACACCAACACCCACCGTTCCTATCACCTCCATGATGCTAGGTCATTTACCTCACACGAGCAACAGTGGACGAGTACGGCCAGTGGTCCCGGAGAGGAAGTCATCCTTGCCACCAACATCACCGAGGAGAAGAGCCCCAAGTCCCAGCTGTCATTTGACCTACCACTGACCCCTCCAGCGCACCTGGATACTTTGGGGATGAAGATCTCCCTCCGGGGCAAAGCCAAGGTGAGCTGGCATCACTCGGACTCAACCTTTGGAGCAAAGTTGGCCCAGAAGACCAGCCCCAACCAGCCGATCATGCCTGTGGTCACCCAGTCTGACCTGCGCTCTGTTCGATTGCGGTCAATCAGCAAATCAGAGCCAGAAGATGATGTTGAGAGCCCAGATCCAGCTGAAGAGCCTGGGCTGGAAGTCTTCACCCTGCCAGAGAGAAAGGTAAAGCCTCCAGTGGCTGAAAAGCCTCCAGTGGCCAAAAGGCCCCAGAACCTGGTTCCCAAGGAGCCCCTACCAGCTTCCTCCACCTTGCTCCTGACTCCTGAGAATACAACCAGCCAGACAAGGCCCTCTCCTCAGGATATCTACATGGTCATGCGGAAACCAAAAGCTCTCAGAACCCCGAATGGCCAGAGCCCAGTGGCAGAGACCCTGGAAGAGGAGCGCCCTAAGATGAGTTCCCTGCCCAAGAGGGGAGGGGAGGTGGAGCGAAGGAGAAGCAAGGTCCCCCCTCCAGTGCCGAAGAAGCCTAGTGTGCTGCCTAAATGCACACTGCACCTGGCACAGCCGGAGGCCCATGCAGGGGAGCCAAAGCTGGCTCCTAGTCCTGTCATCACCCTGGAGGAAGATGCCAACTCTCAGCTGTGGTCCCCAAAGACCAAGGAAGAGCTCTTTAAGCCACCAGCTGCCAGTGGAATTGAGGCGAGCCTTGCAGGTCAGTGAGTATTGTGCTTTCGTTGTGTTCAGTCCAGCTCACAAGCTGAGCTGCCACTCAGGGCAGTCTTGGTGCCAGAGCGAGCAGGTCGATTCTGAGATAGTCTGGTCAGGGGATTTAGGTCAATCTGTCGAGATCTTAGGGCCCTACGGGGCCACCTTGGTCTTCATTTCAGAGGACAAGCCAGTGATAGATAGATGGCCAAGGTTTACTTTGGGCCCTTCTACTCGTGAAATCAATAATCAACAAACATCTGTGAAGTTCTCCCTCTGTGCTTAGAGCTAGGGCTATGGAGAAAGGGCACAAATATCCCCTGCTCTCCAGGAGCTAACAACTAATAGAGAGAACAACATGTACATCCATCGGCACATCCAAAGTGCTGAGCAGGCGGAAGGCAACCTTTGAGAAATGGAAGTCGGCCTTGCTGTTCGTCCCTATCAAGTTGGACTTTCAAAAGTCATCTTCTCAGTCCAGGCCATAGCTCCAACTCCCAGGCTTTACTGGGAGAAGGGCATTGTGGGCAGGGCAGGGCCAGAGCAACCCCAGACAGTCTCTCCTGAGAGACAGGAATTCGGGGAGATGTTTAGATCCATTCCCTGACTCAGTTTCTCTCTTTACCTTAGGAAGTTTCACTGAAGAAAAGCATTTTGCAAGTGACAAGACAGCAGAATCCATAGCAGAAGAAGATGACGATGTCTTTGTGACGTCTCGCACGACTGCAGACTTATTTACGGTCATACACAGGTCAGAGCCTCACTTTTCATTTAAAGGCACATGGCCAGTCTCATGTGCTCCCTCAGCTGGCACAACTGCTTTTTTCCCACTGCTCTTGCTTCTCAATGACTCTTCCCCCCAAGCTAACCTCCTCTCCCACTAGACTTCATTGTGTGTGTGTGGGGGGGGTGTTTCTGTATCCACCACCTCAATCAGTGTCCCCAGTGTAAGGGCACGATGAAGAAGGAAAGGTAGAAATACGAAGGTTTATGTACCCTGTGATCTCTTTCTGAGGTATGAGCTTCTTTGATTGGGCCAAAAGGGATCAGCTGATCAGCTAACCAAACATGCTTCCTCTGCCTCTTTGGAGTTTTAAATGGCTGCAGAAAGTTGAGCCACGAGTGAGCAGCAGCCTGAGAAGGAATCTTCAGCTCCTGAACATGGAGGCTTCCACTGCTGAACTGGCCCACTGCTGAATTTCTTCCAACTATTTAAAGGCCCCCTGGAAGCAGATTAGCCAATCACCTGTTCCTTTCTTGACCCAATCAAAGAACTTCACACCTTGTGAAGAGATCCCAGGTATCAGTTATCATTTATACCTCCAAAACTATATAGTGCCCTTGTCTTGATTACATTAATGGAGATGGAGGAGACATAACCCCCTCCCTTATATTTTTGAGACAGTAGGCTGTGATCTCTTTGTTGAAACCCTGGAAAGAGATTGTGGAGTTATTGTCAACTGTACCTAATAGGCCCAAAAGACCAACATCATCCTGGGCACAGTCACTGAAAACACCTCCAGAGAAAGAACTGATGGCATCTGAATACAGGCTGAAGCAAACTGTTTTTTCACTTTCCTTCTTTCATTTGTCTTTTGGTTTGAATTTTCTTGCACAACATGCCTAATGTGGAAATGTTTGACATGATTGCCCACGTATAACCTATATCAGACTGCTTACTGTCTCAGGGATGGGGGGAGGGAGGGAGGGAAGGATATTTGGTACTGAAAACTTTTAAAAAATGAATGTTAAAATTGTTTTTATATGTAACTGGGGGGAAAATAAAATATTATTTAAAAAAAAAGAAAACAATGGTACTAAATTCCTGGAGATAAACACAGGAAGGGTGGAAATGACAGATGTCTGAGTTCTTAAGGAAAGCTGAGGATGTTTCGGGGGTATCTGGGACCACCTCCCCACGTACCATCTGAGCCTGGTGTCTGAGGTCAAACCGGTAGCATCAAGCTGGTCAGTTTCAACGACATTAGGGGAAGCTCAGAACTGTACGTTATTCCTGCTTCTCGCCCTGTCCAGTCTTGGGACCCCATTTATCTCTTATCAACAGCTGATCAGGGATAAGAATAAAAGAGACAGGCAGGACAAACAGAAGCTCATATACTCGGTAAACTGTGGGCCCAGTCTGGTGCCTCACATTTCAGATCCACTGGCTTTTTGCAAGATGTGGGAGACTGACCTGGTCGGGGGTGGTGAGACACCTCCTTCATTGCCCACATCCTGGCCAGCAGCCTCGAATGGCTCCCATACTATGACTCCTACCTGTTCTTATGTGTCTGTGAGATAGATGGTGGAGTCTGGACAGAGCACTAGACCTGGGGTCAGGAAGCCCTGGCTTCCAATCCTGCCTCAGTGTACTCATCTGTAGAATGAGGATAATAATGGTACCTACATGACAAAGTTGGTCTAAGGGTCAAAGTGAGATAATTATAAGATAACATAAGACGCGTTATAAAAGATAATAAGGGCTTTGCAAACCTTAAAGCACTATAGAAATGTGAGCTACAAGCAGATCACCTGTGTTTGTAATCAGATACACTCAATAGCAGTCCACAACATTTTCTGTAAAAAATAAATCTACCCGAATTTGTAATGAGGACCTGCTTTGGACCAGACAAGTCACTCCCTGCCCCACCCCTCAGTCTTCTCTTCTTATAAAGTGTGGAGGCTGGACTACAGTGGACTGGAAGGTCCTGAGCAGTTGTTTGCCCACCGGCCCCATTACAACAAATCAGGACGTGCGTTCTCCTTGCCTTTGCCCTAACCACCTGCCAGGAGTATCCTGGTAAATGTTTTAACAATCAGCTTTCCTAAAAATGTATGCCCGTACACTTTTTATGTTGAATCTGCATCATTAACATTTTTTCCACCCCCTTTAAGTCCAAATAATCAACAAAACAATCAGTGAAGCTTTATGTTGTAGTACATGCAGATTGCTGAGGTGTAAATGTTCCCAATGAACAGTTAACACTTGGCTAAAGTGGGTTCCAGCATTCCCTGCTCCTAAAGGACTCAATCCAAGGCAGCTCCGTCATCCTACAGTGTATGCCCAGTGACTGAGGAAGGACCATTGATTCCTGTGTACTTGTAGGGCAAAAATACAAGGTCACGTCACCAAGGCTGCTGCAGATCAGTTATCTTTCCACGAGGGGGGCATTTACAGAACCACTCACATAGGCGAGGCAATTCAATTCAACAAGTATTTTCTGAGTCTCCATCGTGGTCCTTTATACTGTGCTAAGTGCACAAAGATAAAAAAAAAAAAGATACAGTTGCTGCCCTCAGGGAGCATATGATTTACTGGGAATTGGAAGGGTGGATATAGCATGTCCACAGAGAAGGATATACAAAATATCTGGAGGTGGAGGGGAGCACCAGTAACTGGGGGGGGGGGATCAGGAGAAGGTACCTTGAAGGATGCCTGTAGGCAATGAGGTCAAGCATTCCAGACAGGGGGAACAGCACAGGAAGGGCAGAGAGGTGGAAGCAAAAATGTTGTATATGGGGAACGGTGAGGAGCCCCTCAATAATCACTTCTTCAATGACTTCTCACCAAGCCTACTTCTCTTCTTTAGGTCTAAAAGGAAGCTGCTTGGCTGGAAGGAGCCTGGTGAGGCCTTTGCCAGCGGCAGACTGAGTTCCCATTCTTCATCCAAGAACCCAGCTGGCTCACCAACCAGTGAGGCGGCTGCCACCGGCAGTTGCTGCGGCAGCAGCAGCAGCAGCAGCAGCAGAACCACCAGCAGAAATGAAGACTTCAAGGCTCTGCTCCAGAAGAAAGGGAGTAAGAGTAGCCTGGGCTCCCGGCCGTCAGCAGCAGAGCTGCTCAAGACCACCAATCCCCTGGCTCGCAGAGTTGTTACGGAGTTTGCCGGGGACCAAGACAGCACCATCATGCCTGGTACCTAAGCACCTCCACAATGGCTTTGGGGAAGGGAAGCTGGGGAAGACTTGTGAAAAGCAACCATGAGAAAGATCAGAATGGCAGACAATACACTGATGGTGATAGAACATTAACTGAGAACCTGGACTGTCTGGACTTCGGGGGGAACGTCTCCAGTCTTCTTCATCTTGAGCTCAAACTAGCAAGAATTTCAATGAACTTCCAACATTTCAGGTCTGATTCTTGCAGTTCTGTCATTGCTGGCCACTGGTGATCCCCCTAGTGTTTCTGTCTTTTGACCAAGGGCACAGGCCCCATGTTGGAAATTCATGGATGGCCCAAGTTAGCTCCTCTCCCACTATCCTCATTTCTTGTCATGGAGCTAATTTGGTGGAAGGCCACACAGATGAGGCCTACCAGGCTGGCCGTGAGTGGTAGGTAGTGAGGCTCACCTCTTTAGCGTGGAGATGCCAGAAGGACTTTTTGGCCACCGCGTGAATTCTCCCCAATAGAGTTAGTGGGTTCAATCATGCAAAATGTGGATGTTGTTATCCTTTCCTTTAATGTCCTATCTTTTTCGGATTGCTTTTCTATACGGAGATCAGGGTGATCAGTGCAAACAAATCTCTATATTTTGGTTTGGGCTAAGACAGCCAAATAGGGTCAGTTCCATTTGGGTCGCTTAGGAAGTACCAAGCTTGTCCAAAGTGGCAATCATTGGTTCATTCAGAGCACCTCTCTGGGCTGGCTCTCTCCCATTTCAAATGTTCGTCCCCAGTGATAGCAAGGGACAGCAAGGGTCTGTGCCGAAATCCAGTGAGCACACTGGAAGTCCCTGCCAATGCTGCATCCACTTTCATTTATACAAAATTAAAAGAATAGAGGTGGAAGGATACCAGTCTAAGTGAGGATCAGAAATCCATTCAACTTGCCCAACACAATCCAGTTCCTATTGTAATATTTTTAAAAAAGCTCGGGGTGGGGGGAAACTAGGGAGAGGGATAGTAAAACAACATAATGCCAATCTAAGGGGAGCATTCCTATTTTAGTCAAGTAGTTTTGCTAATTAAGTATTATGCTCTCTTGTTTCCATACTGCTAAGGGACTACAGGTACTGTCAGCACCCTGGAGATTCTGGCATCCTAGCACAAAGCTCCAGCTGACTTGCCCTAGTTATGACCAGATCTGGTTCTGGTTGGTGATGACTAATAGTGAAATGGTGAAAGGGCAGTTAGGCATGTAGCTAGGGAAGAAACAAGAAGATGAGGGCAAGAAGCATCAGCTGGACAACAATCTAGATCAAGGGTATATCACCTTCCCCATGGAAAACTGTTCAACAAAAGTACTCTGAGTCCTAAATGGCTTCCTGGAAGTTGCAGCCTTCCTGCTATTCCATGGCAGATGACCAGGCCACAACAGTTGTCTGATGGGATCCCATGTGGTAACGGAACAGCTCCCACTGGATCCCACACCTATGGGGCCTCACTTGCCACCAAGAGTACTGTGCTGTCACCAAAGGAAAGCCAAGCCTCCTCCCCCATGGAGGCCCTCACCGTCCCCCTGTTCTAGGGAGATGCCAGGCCTGCCTACCTTCACTCCAGACAAGGGGGAGGGAGCAGAATCAATTCTGGAAGACAGAGGGCTGGCTTGGTAGATGAGGGTGCCCTCCACATAGCAGGCACATGACACAGCTATCTGTGGCCCGTGATTCCTGACCCAGTACAGAGTACCCATCTGAGTAGCTGTGTGAGGCCTCTGACCTAGGCAAAGGACTCTCCCTTCCCCCCAGTCTCTCTCCAGTGACGCTTGTTTAGCCATTAGTAATTGGAGAAAACTACCTGTGGATTGGGCCAATTTACCATGGCTTCCCTCTTTGTGCAGCCCCAAGCTCAAACCCTGTCACTGCCTGTGTCCTTGCCCCAACTTGTGGGTACTCAAGGAACACAAATGTGCTCCAGTGTCCTTGGAGCCAACATTTCCTCCAACATTCTGGGCTAGGAGTCAGGGAGCCTGGCTTAGAATGCTGCTTCTTCCTCATGCGAGGCCTTCTCCTCCTCTGCTTGAGTTAACTCCACGCTGATGCCCTCTTCCATTATTAGGAACAGTCACTGCAACACCTCCCATTTCTTTGGGGATTGGACCTTGCATCCATTATCTCATTAGATAACCCTCATAGCACCCCTGAGAGGTACGTTAATGCAAGTAGGATTACCCCCTCCCCCCATTTTATAGAGGAGGAAATCAGAGAGGATCAGACAGGTGCAGCAGCTAATTAGTGGTAGAGCCGGGGCCTACACCAAGGTCTTTTGCCTCATGCAAAGAATCAGAACTAGTAGAGGGTGACCCCGGTATGTCTACATCTCGGGGAGCAGTTGGGCCATGCTTCCTCTCCTTGGTGACTGCTGTTCGTGAATCTTGTGTAGTGGTCCTCTCCAGGTCCCACTGCCCTATGGTGGGGTCACTGTCCTCAGGGGACCGCCACCATGTCACACTTCCCTCAGGGCCTGCCCTTCCCCCACCAGAGGCCCAGGGGGTGCAGAGGCTCAACTCCTACTCTGCCAGAGGTACTCCAGTCATGGATGGACTGTACAGCGCATTGACCACCATGCCCACCTTCAACCCTGCTCAACTGACTTTGTCTTCATTACTTCTCTGCTCATGTACCATATTCCTTCTGCCCCAAAGACTTTTTTTTCCCTGTGGTTTGAACAAAAGTTTTGAGCGTCAACACGTTCAGGGAAGCATTTATGTGTACCCAACTGTTTATGGCCTTGTACTACATTGTGGAAATACCTGTACAAGCTTGTATGCTAAGCCAGTGTCGCTATGATTGTACCCATTGTTCTAAGTCTATTTGTACACCCCTCCCCCCTTATAAACTAACTAGTCAATGGAAAGACTTGCTCACAGTCAATGGGCAGGGCGCTTGCCCTCCAATTTCCTTCTGCTGTTGGATGTGCTCAAATTTGCACAGCTAGGTAGGATCTGCCCTCCCCTCAAACGCTGGGTTTGGCATGTGGAGACTTGGCTTCAGTCCCAGGTCTGTGCCTGAGGCTACCTGTGTGACCTTGGACCAACCCTGTCCCTTCTCAGGACCTAAGTTCCCTCCTCTGGCCATTCTCCTCCATTTTAACACTAGTGATGGATCACGCATTCTCTGGGCAGCAAGGGCTTCTGGTCCTGGTTCCCAGTTTGTTGCCTATGTTTCTGTGTTAGTGAACCCTCAATCTTATCACGAAATGTTATTTGATTCATTAAGAGCAATGGTCCAGTCAGCTATCCTAACAGGTAAGACGAATACAAGCCAATTTGATAAATGTGCATTATGTGCTAGGTACTGGAGATAGAAAGACAAAAGTAAAACTACAGATCCTGACCTCATGGAGTTTCCATTCCATTGGCCAGGGCCCACCAGTATGGTGTAGGGAAGAGAGGCCCAGCTTGGGAGTCTAAGGGCCTGGCTTCAAATCCTGCCTCCTCATCTAGCCAATGAGGGGATCAGACTAGATGGGCCTCTCTGAACTCCAGGATTCTGTGAATCTTAAGAAGCTCTGTTCGATTCAGCACATATTTAGTGCACCTGCTTTTGTCCAGGCATGAGCTAAGCCAAAGTAGCTGGAATCTGGGAAAGGCCCAGGGTCCTGTTTGCCTGGTTCTCCCCTCAACTTCTTCCCCTTTCCCAAGATGCTCAGTACCCTCATGGTCTCCCCCTTCCTCTTTATCAAAACCTGCTGTGGAGGAAGGATGAGCAGGGGGACCTCCTCTACTGGTCAATGTCATGTCCATCCAGGAATTCCCAAAAGCCAGGGAGCAAGTGTCACTCTGTTAATCTTGTATCACTGATGTGCAAAGAAGATCATTCTCCATTGGATTCAGATGACAGGGGCATTTAAAAAGTTTGTGAAAGTCCCAGGCAGGGAAGGCGCAATTGTCCCACCGCTGTCCATGTCTCTTAGGGGTGGCTGTCCATTGTGCCTGACAGAAGCACCAAGCTCTTCTTTCCCCACATCCTTTGGGGTTGTCATCAGAGTGTTTGCATTCATTTCTTCCTTTCACGTTGTCTTCAAGTTGATGGGCAAAGGAGCCCACCTCCAAGCCCCAGCCTCCTCCCTACCTTTGACTGTATGTGGTGAGATGCTGCTGGGAAAGGAATTTTGTCTCAGAGACAAGGACAGTCTTGGCAAAAGTTTGGCCAAACGTGCATTTGAACACCAAAATCAACAAGACATCAAAAGGTTTGCCAAAGAGTGTGTGTGTGTGTGTGTGTGTGTGTGTGTGTGTGTGTGTGTGTGTATGGGGTATGGGTGTGTGGGTGTGTGGGTGATTTTTACCTTATTTTATTTTTGAGGAACAAGGTAAATGGTGCCAGCAGCGATCAGGGAGCTTGTGATAAATTCCAAGTAGACAGAAGCTTCCTGGGGCCAGGCACAATCAAAGTGACCATGAGATGATCAGTGTAAGTACAGTGCAGATGGCAATCTCTCTGTGCCTCATTAGACCCAGGTGGTCTTTTGTGAGTTGCTGAGACCAAAAAACTCCATTTCCCTCCCCCACCTCCAGCCAGCTTTTTGCTGCCAAATCTCTCCACGCTTAGCTATGCTGGCCATCTACAATGGATACATAGGCTATAGTCAGGCCTAGACCAGAGCCTTTTCCAGCTTGTTTGGCCCTCCCAGAATCTGGGTCCCACTAGTACTGCCTTCAAGAACCCAGGAGCAGCTGCAAACCACCATAAGGCTTCAGCAGAGGACTTTAGCACATACAAGGTCTAGAATGTGCATACTACATCCCTCCAGTGGATCAATGACCTCACAGATGTGGGTCCTCACTCTAACACTGTAGATCACAACCCCTCCCAGCCTGCCCATCCTGTGCAATGCTTATCCACGTCCTCCCATTAAGTTCACTTACAAGAGGTCCATTCAACATGCTAGGGGCCTTCCTCAAGTTCTATGGCCGTTGTGAGGATACAGTGGAGTGCTCATTAGCACCCATGGAATACATGAGACATTGAAAACCAAGGTTAAAAAGTATGAGCTCCTGATCAACGATTCTTGTAAATACCATTTACAAAATATGAGCACGATGCTGCTGAATGACTTCAGAGAGCAAGGCAATGCTTTATTCATTAGGCTACTGGGCTTGTAGCTGATTCAGTGCACAAATAGGGTGCCCCAGGGTGAATATAAGGGAATCCTGTGGTTAATCAGTTTTTCTGGGCAGCAGCCCATTTCTCTGCTAGCATGAGGAGTGGATAAGGGTGAAGATGGAGGTGGAACACCAACATGGCTGAAAGCAGAGAAGGCGGAATTCCAATGACTCCCAATATCCCTTCTTCAGGGTTTAAGTGTTAAGGTACTTGCAGCTTACAGACTTTAAGCTTCATTGCATTCCAATTGGGTTGAGATTATTTCCAGATACCCAAGACAGGAAGGCTGTTTTAGCTAGATTTTACTTTGATTAATTCTTGATTTGCAGCAGAAGCTTTCTTTACACAACGCTCTGATGTCAGCCAAATGATAGCTCCCTCAGACCTTTGCACTTCCCTCTGTGACTGTGATCATGATAACCAGACAGTTGTAAATCATGCAGAAGCATAACTAGGGCAGGGCAACTAGGTCCTTGCCCTAGGGAATGGAGATTTAGAGACTGCTGATCTGAAGCTTAGAAAACAATGAATTTACCATCTCTTCATCAGAATTGTCAGGTAAGATAGGAAGCTATTCGATGGCATACTTCCTCTCAGTAATTGTATTCCAAGTGAGTTTCCTCCTCCTTGGGCCAGCGCTTTGCTGGTGTCTTTGCTCCCATCCCTCCATGAATGGTTCTAGAACTGTCATATGAGAACCAGCTGAAGGAATTGGGCACTTGAGCCCAGATGGGACATGGTCACTGCCATCCCATTTCTGTAGAGGCAGGAGGAGATGCATTTGGTTTAGCTCCACAGGGCAGAATGAGGAGTAGTGAGTAAAAGTAGTAGCAGGTTGCAACTTTGCCCAGTATAAAGAAGGACTTCCTGGAGTAGTGAGTTCTTAGCTTCTGGACAGGCTCAAACAGAAGTTGTGGGAACATCTGTCAGAAATGTCATTTTGGGTCTAGGATACTGGCTCTACCTTTAGCTGTCACTTTGGTTGTCATCATGGCTAAGTCCCAAGCCATCTATCAATTGCCCCAGAGCCCAGATAGTATTATTTCTGATATTAAGTCAAGCAGATTGGACCACACAGATACATGTCATCTGACGGATTGCCCTGTGATCAGCTGGCAAATTGTCAGTTCCACCAATCAAGCATGTTGGCTTTGTGTTGCTACATCAAAAGTACTCCAGCGTAGGAGAAGAAAACATCTGTTTACAATGCCAAAGATCATAGAGCTGAATGGGAACTCCTTGTCTCAAAGATGAGGAAACTGAGGTCAAACAACTTTCCAGGCTCATATGGTGACTCTCCTTTTATTGGGGTCAGCTTGTTTGGCAGGGAAAATTTTCTCATTCTTATCTTCATTTGGAGTCCTAATCCTTGGGGGCAACAGGCAAAAGTGCATTTGATTGCAACTTTCTGCCTCAGTTAAAGCAATCTTCAAATGGTCACATTCAACAGTAACCTTGGTTTCAGTTCCACAACTCGATAAACATGTAAGAACTTGCTCTGGGTCAGGTACCAAGCTAGGCCCTGGGCTACAAAGCCCCAAAGGAAATGATCCTTGCCCTCAAGGATCTTCCATGCTATTCGGCTGAGTCGTGCCAGTTGCCACCTCAAAATTCTCGGTAACACCCGCCTTTACTGGCTGGGACTTTGCCCCACTTTGGAGATTGGACTTCATTTTGCTCCCTCTGCTTTTCAGTCTCTAAGTCCATCAAATATCAGGCATGCAGCGTGCTCACTGTACTTGTCATCCCAAACTAATATTGATCACGTGGTAGTGAATGTAAGCCATTTGTGTTTCCTGATCAATTTTACATTATAAATTGTCTAATCATGTTTCCTCTGGCTGATAGTAAAAGTATTCTTCTCTTTTCATATGTCTCATGCTCCTTTTTTCCACACCCTCCAAAGCTTCTAAAGGGAAGTATTTCTACAGAGTTAACTTCACAACCTCCTCACTGGCTCCATGGAGTGAACACTTCACAGGGTATTCCACTGATCCACTATCTGGGTACTGAGGAGCTTACATCATAATAACACAGAGAGGGCTTTACCATTTCCAAAGTACATTCCTCATGACAACGCGGTACAGTGGAAAGAGTAAATAAAATCAGAGGACCTGGGTTCAAATTTCCCCTGCTGCTACTTATTGCTTGTGTGACTTTGGACAGCTGAAAGGTCCTTTCCAACTCTAAATATATGGTCCTATGATCCCATGAACAGTCAAGGCAGAAGAATTCTTTTATTCATGAATCCAGGCAAATGTCTGACTTTCAGTATATGACTAAGAAAGTGTATATTCCTTTCTGACGAAATGAGTTAAAAATTAAACAATTGTAATGATGAATGTGAATGGACTAAACTTTCCCATTATAATGCAAGACTCACAGAATGAATCAAAAAACAAAATCCAACAATAGGCTGCTTACAAGAATATGTTTAATCTAATAAGCTCTAAGGAGATTCCAAGTCAAAGGCCGGTCTAAAATGAGCCAGGATTCAAACTCTGTTCCTATGACTCTAAGTCCGGCATTCTTTCAATCAATAAATCAACAAGCTGTGTGCTAAACAACGGGAATATAGATACAAAGAAGGTCAAGAAGCTTATGTTCTAATGAGGAAGATAAAGCCATGTATAAGTGAAGCCCTCCTTTGTTCATCAGAGGGGTATTTTTTTCCCCTTTAAAGTACAAGGCAGTTAGTCTCATGGATTCACATTTGTTCTCGAGAACTAGTTATGTGGAATGTTTATGTAATTCAGTAAACTCAGAGCTCCCAGCCTAGGGAAGAAATCTTTTTCCTTCTCTAGCCATTGAGTAGATAATAGTCCTTAAGTTCTATTACCTTTTCTATTATCTGAAAAGAAATCTCCACTAGCCATAGCATTTCTCATTCTAAGGCATTCCTCTATAGGAAAACAGGCACTCTGAATGTGATCCCAATCAGATTACCTTCACCTGGAGACATAACCAATTATAAAAATATAAACAGCAAATAATCAAGACAGAAAAGATCTGGAAACTCCAGAAGGGTATGCGATGCTGTTAACACTAGAAAGCAAAGAGGCAGTAAGGAGAGAAGAGGAAGTAAAGAGTGGATAAATTCACCAGTTCTCTGCAATGCTGTGAGGCAGACACCTTCAGGCAACACCAAGTTCTGTCCAGGCCAGCCAACACTGCATTCACTCATGATTACAGTCAGTGTGGGGTAGCATCCTTCACTTGAAATCAACTCTCACTGATGGTGCATGTCTGCACCCCATCTCTCTCTCCTCAGAGCTCCAGTGCTCCCAGATCATCTGTTCTGCATGGCTCTCAGCTCTCCTGATCCTTCCACCACTCGTTCGGACTAGGAAAGTTATACTTCCCATCAGCCTCTGGGCCTAATACAGAGCTACACTGCTCTTTGATATTTGGAATTCTGATGTACAGAATTATACAGTATAGCATACGGTGTTAGTGCCTCTCCCCAACTTTGTAGTTATTTGGCTGTTTCCCAAGACAGAATATAAACTCTGTGAGGACAGGGACTATTTCCTTCACATCTCTAGTACCGAACACACCCTCTCACACAAAGGAGACCGTGAATTTAGAGAACTACTTTTTAATTAACTGAATTTTTGTGAAAGGATAAAGTTAATGGTATAACACTGTGGGACTGCTGTTGGGCCCACAGAGCCTAGGGTACTATGCCTACTCCCTTCTACACTAAAGAGATGCACATGACAGCTAGAGTAGACAAGCAATACCACTACTAGGCCTGTAGCCTGAGGAGATCAAAGGAAGACGAAAAGGACTCAGGTGTACAAAAATATAGCAACTCTTTGTGCAGTAGCAAAAAACCAGAAACTTAAGGGGTGCCCATCAATCGGTGAATAACTGAACAAAATATGGTATATGAATGTAATGGGATATCACTTTGCCACAAGAAATGATGAAAGGGATGGTTTCAGAGAAACCTCAGGAGAGTTCTATGAATTGAGGCAGAGTAAGCAGAACCAGGAAAATAGTTGTATACAATGACCACAATAAAGTAAAGGCTAACAACTCTACAATAATTCAGTGCTCTGATCAATACTGTGACCACTCACTATTTCAGAGGAAGGATGATGAGCTCTACTAGCTACTTCCAGACAGAGAGGTGACAGATTCAGGATGTCCAATGAGACATGGCTATAAAGGGAAGTGGAAGGGAGAGAAAATTAATGTTAGTTATTTGAAAATAGAACAAAATGTAAAAGTTTTTGAACCAAAGAAAAATTATGGGCCAATTTCTAATCTGGAAAAGTGAATGGTTGTTCACTTTGAGGTATGTCTGATGTAGCATAAGACACGTATGATAAAGAAAAGAATGAAAAAATGAAGGGGATGAAAATTAGACTGAATCATTCAAGGAGAAAATTATTTCTAAAATAGAAAAATAAAATAAAGTCAAACAAAGGCTGGTGAAAATTATTTTTGGCTCCAGCAATTCTGCAAGGCAGTCTCCTAAATGATAGAGGGGTTTCCATCTTCCTTAGAGGAGAGGGAAAACCTTCCTGTCCCCCCACCCCCAATCACAGGTCCTAGAGGTATGTAATCAATCAACAGCTATTAAGGCATCTTCTGGAAAAATAACTAAATAATCACTGCCCCAAATTCCTCTTTGCTGTTGTATATGAAGTGTTGCTGTTGATGTTGCATGTTAAGTTTGCCTCAGATGAGGTCCTCTAGAAGCTGACCATTCTTCAGGGTAATGAGGGTTAATGAGTTAGTTGAGTTAATGGCAAGCTTGAGTCTAAATCTGAAGAGGAATTCTGCGGAACCCACACATACTGTGACAGTTTTGGAAGGCAGTGAGCCTGGAGAGAATGAGATCCGGTGATACCCGGAGTGCACATCCTCCTCATGTCCGTCTGTCCTCTTAAGGCTTAGGCACGATCTCGTCCTGGATGCCTCTCTGCCCGCTCCAATCTCCCTAGACACGTTTATCTGGATCTCTCCTTTGCCCTTACCACAACCTACTCTGTATTTATTTATCTCTATATACATTCTTCCCTGTAAGATTTCCCAAATGAGTGAATATTCTAAATTGCTTTTGCCTTGAGCCCAATAAGCAGGGTTTTGAATAAGGTTCCTGAGACTGGAATGTGATCACTTGGTATCCCCCCCACCCCAGCCTGTTTCCTCATCAATAGAAAATTGCGCCTCCAAGAAGCAAAGAGGGATCAGGGGCCTGATCAAGACTGGCTGAATGGAATCGAACTCAAGGAGGAAGAAAAGACCTAGAGTCACAGAAGCCTCAGGTTTGGACTCGATGGTCTCTAAGGTCCCTTCCAGCTCTAGCACTAAGACCCAATAATTAATTTAATTTTTAATTTTTTTAGTTTTCACTAAAATGTTTTTTTCAGTTCAAAATTCTCTCCCTTCCTCCCTCCTTGAGAAGGTAAACGATGTGATATCGATCATACATGTGAAGTCATGCAAAACATTTCCATATTAATCATACTGGCAACAAAAAACAAAACAAAATATGAAAAATAAAGTGAAAAACACGATCGACCCTCAGAGTAGACTAGCTACGTTTAAGACCCGAGCAATCGATAGATCGCAGCTTCCGGCCGGCGAAGAAGAGCGGTGCACCTTGGGAACTGGCCGCCCCGCCTCCAGCGTAGCCACGTTCCCACGCCCTGGAAGGGAAACTCCAGGAAGGGGGTGCGTACAGGCCCTGGCCTGATTTTCCCCGCCCCTACCGGTCTCGCTAGCAACCCTCCCCTATCCCGCCTAGCTTCTATTTCATTGGTCAGGGTATCGAAGGACCCGGGTGCCGTGGCTGGCTCAACTACTGCCTGACTGTCCTCAATTTAGGGTGACCGCCAAGTGCTGATTGCGTTCTTCAGGCATATCATTGGACATCCCTATGGGACCAACTGCGTTCATCAATTGGATACCCGGAAGTACTAACGGAGGCGGTAGCAGGAAACTGGGAAGATGGCGCCCAAGGGAAAGAGCGGTTCCAGCAAAGGAGGGAAAGGTAGGGAGATCTGACGGAGCCTGGAGGCGGGACTTCGTGCGTCTCCTTCTCGAGTGTTTCATGATCAAATCCAAAGGCCTCAGAGGCCTTACACTTGCGCCCCTGCACCTTCCTTCCTTTTCTTACGCTCACTGTTGTTCTCCCTCCGCGCCTATCATTTCACGGGGCGGGAGGAGGGGAGACTCCCAGCTCCCTCCACTTCCCAGTCTGTCACTTAAGGGGGGGGGCGTTCCTCGCTCCATCTGCCCTACCCCCAGCCTATTTCATGGGGGGGCTCCCCGCACTCTGCACCCCTGAGCCTGTTTCCTCATGGGGGGAATTCTCCAGTGCTGCTCCCCACCCCCAGCCTGTCATATGGTGGGGGGGGGGACTTCCCGCACCGCTCCTCTCTGTAGAGCACAGTTTGGCAAAAATGACTCGTCTCTAGTTCAGTCTGCAGGTGTCAGAGGTGGACACCAGGTCTTCCAGACCATCTTGAATAACTTCAGGGTGGCGTATGGAGGTTAGAGGGGAATCATCTAGGATAAATCTGCTTTCACTTCAAAGATTCGAACTCTTGGAATATTGAGTTATCTGAGGGAAACTGGATAGGGGGTGGAGTGGGGACAGGGCAATCCCTCAAACACCTTTCTGCCAAGGGAATGAAGCCCACTTGGTTCTCAGTACTCCATAGGAAGTGGGTGTAGGATGTCATTAAATTTGAAATAACAGAAACAACAAGAATTAGAAAGCAAACATCTATTAATTTCTTTTCAGTCCTGACTGAAGAAAATTCAGCTCTAATAGTTGCAACATTAAATGTAAATGTACCAAACGTTAAAACGAAACCGAGTTACAGAAAGGGTTAAAAAACGGGCTCCAAC